CAATGAAGCATTTTGTAAGATTATGGTACTGCATGGGTCAGCAAACAAAAAGTGTATGTAAACTCTTTTATTTATTCATAGTTTATTATCATGAAATATGGGCAAATAGTACCTGTGGTTCAGACTTACCCAAGCTGCAGTTTGTTTTCAAAGAAAAATGTGTTGTTGAGATTTTGAATGGCTGATGATACTGTCGAGGCGTCTCCCATTTGAACCATGGCTGCTCCGTCTTTACTCTTCAGAAACTTCACCTAATAAAACATTTCAATTACATTCAGGTTTTAATTTCATTTATACAACAGTAACTCTTCTAGTACAATTAAAATCATTATGTATAATTATTAGTTTTTTAACACCTTCTGCAGGGTTTGTTATTAGACATAACACAGCAAGTAACTATCTATAAATTGTTCAGGAAAAAAATCTAAAAACTCAATAGCATATAAATCCTCTGCAAAGTCATTTCTAACTAATAAAACAAATAATACAATGAAATGTCAGCTGCCTTTCAATAATGAACCCGACTACTTTTGCACAGATTCATTCAATAATATAATCCCTAAACCACACCCATCTCACTCACCCTGACCACATTCCCATACAGACAGAACAAGTTGAAGATCCTGTCACAGTTCATCTTCTCGCTATTCAGTCCATACACCATCATGACTGCCCCCTGGACAGGGACATTGGCCCCTGGGGGCCCTTGTTGACCATAGCCCTGCTGACCATAGCCATCTGACCCACCGCGGCCATAAGGGGTGGGCTGAAGGGGGGCTCGCCCATAGGGATCCTAAAAAACATTTCATTTTCAAGATGCAGGAATTCAACAAAATTCTTTTTTTTTCGACTTATTTTACCTGAATATGTAGCACAGAATACTATTTTCCCCAGCTTAGTAAGATTTACCAGTGTGATTGCGTAATGAAAAAGAAATTTGATAGCACGTGTAAGAGGCCAAATGGGGTGCCTTCTTAATCTTTCCCTTCAGACAGATCTTAAATTTTGCATTTCTTACCAAGCACAATCTTTGTCTTCCCAGTCTACAGAAATCAAGTATGAATTCCAAAATGATGATATACCCATGAGTTTACCTGTCCGTACCGTCCTCCCTGTCCACCATACTGCTGGTTGCCATAGCCACCATATCCACCACCCCAGTAGTCATAGCCATCCCCCTCCATGCCATAGTTACTAGCAGCTGGGGGAGGTGGAGGCGCCCCTGGTCCACCACTTCCTGCTGAATAGAAGGGAAGACCACTTAAAAGATGGGTTAAGTTGGAAGATACAGATGACCAAACACACGTTTCTTTCTCCATGGAGCCCAGCAGTGATATATTCTTACAATAGGCAATTCTTCAAAAATTTTTAATTAATTCATTTTATTATTTTTATATTTACCAAAGACTCTTAAGTACTCAGATAATGGAATGCTTTCAAATAAGCTTTGAGGTATTGTTAAAAAGCAGACATCATATCAAAATGTGTGTCCTTTCCAAATTAAACAAATGGTGCATTATTCCAAACACATGCTTTATGTACTGTTTCCTAGTATACATTCAAGATAAGGCTACTACAACCCCCTTTGGTGATCAACACATACTGTATGGTTGAGGAGCAAGCCCATATCCCTTGGGTGTCTCCAAAAGCGGCTTACTCTTGGGGGCCTGAGGAATATTTGCTGGAAAAGCAGAATAAAGAAATAACATCCCAGTTGTCTGATTTAAATTACATTTCTAAAAATGTATGATGAATTGGATAACTATTTCTATTAGACATACTTGTATAACTACCAAATTGTCATTTTTGAACCATGGCATATATTACATTTAAAAACTATTACAAATAACAATAAGCTGAGTGTGATTTTTATCTGAAAAAAAGATATCATTAACAAATATACCACAAAACAAATACATTTCATGTACACAAAAGAGAGAAAAATGCTGCACTCCTTGCAATTATATACAAATCACAATTTTCTTCTTAAATTGATTTTCTTAAAAAAAACCTCAGATATCATATGGAAACTAGGAAACTAAAATACATATACAGTCAAATTGCACCACAATGGTTAGGAAAAAAACACTGAATAATATAAGGCATGGTTTTTAAAACTATATTCACAAAACATACCAAGGTTACCTCTGCACTTCCTTCCCTACCTCTTTCCATGCTCAAAATACCTTGACCAAGACTGGATGGACAACTACCTCACAGGCATCCAATCCTATATACAATAGTACATAAAAAATACACCTCTACCCAACACACATCTTTTGTGATACTGTACATGTTGGTGGCCTGTCTGCTGTATAATAATATTCATGTGGGCACATATTGTTCGGTTTTTGTCATATCCTGGAGTTGTGCTGTAGACTGTACTATATTGTAAGCATGCAAAGTAATATCCCACGGGGCATGGTACATCTTGCTTATGGTAAATGTAGTAGTCTTACAACATTTATGTAGGAAAAACCTGTCTTGTCTTAGTGTATAATGCCTTATTTGATACTGTATAGCTAAGGTAACCAGGTAAGTAAGTAATTACCAACTTAGCAGTATGTATTATAAATACAAGTACTTTTTAAGTGCATAAACACTTAAAATTAAACTACAGTAGAAACATGTTATTCAAATATGCGATATACTAAATCTGAGCCCCATTTTTCTGCTCCCCCATCTAAATCTTGTAATGTTTATGCAATGTTCTAGATGACATGTATGGCAAAGATTACATGAAAATTGTCTAGTGGAATATTTCATATTTTTCATGCATACAATTATAAATAAGTTTATGTAAACTGTACATCTTTCCAAATAAAAAATACAGATATTGTCCTTGTCAAAGCATTGGCATGCTTTGGGCATGTTACAGATTTTTGTGAAATTAAATTTATAAACATGTTTCACATTTCTAAACATTAAGGAACAAAGAAGGAAGCTAAATCTGTGAAAAATAAGGGCCATTTTTTATGAATTTGTGTAAATATGACTTGCATTTAAAAAGAAGCTACCAAAAAAAAATATATATATATATATCTTAAAAAAAAAAAAAAAAAGATAAAAGGTTCACAAAACTGCCCCAAAATAAAAACTTAGCGAGTACAACTTATCAT